GCCCCTCCAAGGAGCCCCAAGCCCCGGGGTGCGCCAGAGTCCCCTCGTCTCTGCGCTCCCACGTTCCGTTCCCCGGCTCCCCGCAGACCCCGAGGCAGGAGGACCCCCGATCGCCCCGGGGCCCTGCCCGGCCCTCCCCGCTGTGGGGGCGGGACGCCAGGAGAGGAGGGGCAGGCTGGCGGCGCGCCAGGGCGGCCTGAGCCCCGGAGAGAGGCTGGGCGTGGAGCAGTGGACACCACTCCGGCCCTGACCCGGGGACACCTCTGCGCTTTCACTGCCTGACGGCACCCGGCCCCCGAGCACACGCTGCCCCTCGCAGGGACAGAGGTCCTGTTCCCCTGACAGACCAGACGCCCCCCCCCACTCAGACACAGTCATCCAGGGGAGGAGACTGGCAGAGGTTACAGTAACTGTCACCCAGCAGCCCAGAAGTGACACTCCGGACGGGTGTAATGGCTCTCTGTCCCCTCCACTCGGCACACTCACACTCCTGTCCGTCCACACTTCTGCAGCCCCCCTGCACACCAGCCACAGCCGCCCTCCAGGGCACTTCACATTCCACCCCAGTCCCACCTGCCTCTGGCGCCCTGGCTCCCTCCTGGTAACAGCATCCTCTCCCTCTCACCCCCACTGGTCCGACTCTCCTTCCTTCTCTCCCTGCCTCTGGCTTTCAGCTGGCTGTTCTCTGGCCCCTGCTTCCCCTGCTGGGAGCAGCCCAGGGCCCTCTCCAAAGCCCAGCTCCTGACTTCACCAGGCAGGGGGCCTGGCCCGCCCTCGGCTTCTTTCCCTGGACCTCAGTTTCATCTTCTGTGGTTCAGGCTGGAAGATGGGCAGGGAGGGGGATGCTGGAGAGGGTAGCCAGACAGAGCCAGGGAGGGACTCCAGCATGCATAGTCCAACCTCCTTGTGCAAAGTCACGGTCACCACAGGGTCGCTGGCAAAGCGTGGTCTCCTGACTTCCAGGCCTGTGTGTCCCCACTTGCCAAGCCACTTCTCAGCAGCCTGGGGAAAAGGGAACAGGAGAGGCCAGAAGGGAGAGAAAGAAGAGGGAATACCAGCCATCCAGAGGCTGGAGCTCTGTGGGCCTTTGCCTGGGGAGGCAGGAGTCTCCTGCGGGACAGCTGTCTACAGTCCCACTGCCTGGATCTCACACCACCCCCAAGCCCATCGCATCCCCCAAGTCCCCTCCACAGACCCCTCTCAGGCCACCCAGACGCTGGCCCTGCCTGGTCCGAGGGCAGGGCCTTACCCTCTGGCCCCCGTGTTCAGGCCTCTGGAGCTCTGAAGCCTCCCCGGCTCCCACTTGTAGGGTTCACAGAGCCTCGATCCCAGGTGCAGACTCGCAGCTGACTCTTCCTATCCACCCTTGCCACCCCGGCCATCTGCACTGACAGAGGTCAGCCTGGGGATCACAGGCCAAGGACTATGGGGCAGCTGGCTGGAGACACGTGCACACGGGGGTCCCTGCCTGAGCAGCCGTGTTAGGGTGGCCATGCGCTTGCGTGGGCTGAGTGTGTGTGTGTGTTTTCATGGGGTGGGGGGGCTTGGTTCCCAGGGCCCAGGGATCTGGATGGAATTAGGGGCTGGCCCCAGAGGG